AAGTGTTGTGAATTAGCCATGGCTACAGGCGCTGTGATGCTGTGATGCAGACATCAGATTATTTCTCATATAATCATCTATGTTTATCTGTCTCTACAAAATACTGTACACCAAATATAAAACATGCAGTTTTCACTGCATGAGGTTTAACAGCGAAAAAAATGCAATAAAGATAGTAAGAAAAATATTACTGATTAAAGCAACAATTTATTTGACCAAAACTTAAAGAATAAAATGACTGTAATAAAAAAATAATACCTGAATAATTTAATATATTTAAATTTTCTGTAAAATGTACATTTATATTTTAGATGAAAATTTGGTTTGAATTAAAATGACAAAATAAAAAAGTAATGAATCCTGACATGACCTACCGTTCACTGTGCAGTAAGATCATGACCAGAAGAATGAGGGTGGTGGCACCAGCAGCATACAGCACCACTGTCCACACTGATATTCCATTATTTCTTATATTTGTGTCTGGGAAAATGTTTAATGTTCTGTTAACTCAGATTTTTTTCTGCATGTGCAAAATGTTTAGTATGGAAAATTTAATCCTGCAGCCTTACCTGTGGTGTTATTGAATCCCCAGACCACAGGCTCGCTCCAGTCGCTCCAATATTCAGAGTCTCCACAGTCTCTCTTTAATTTGCTCCTCACCTGCAGCTCATATCTGGAGCTGCTGGAGGGCAAGCTTTGGCAATAACTCTGCTTATGAAATACTGACAAAAGCTATAGCAGAAAACAGTTCATGAGATGTCAGATCATTAGAAGGAATATAACGAGAAGGAGAAAATACGCACCTCCCAGTCGTTGTTGTTGATTCTGATTCGTACTTGACTTTCTACATATTTGGTGGCAGTATGGTTCCAGTAAAACCACAGGTTAAAATCAGATCCATTCTTTACCGTCAGGTTGGTTGGTGGGTTTAATTTCACTAATGACAGCAGCGACATGAAGGGACAGAGAAATGTAATGTAATTTAAATTATTAAATCAAAACAGGATTCTGGATTTTTAAATATGCAAGATTTTTAGAAGAAACTATTTATTTTTTCACGGAGTTGTTCTATTACCTACCTTTAGTTTTAAGTTCAAGTTCATTCTGAAACACCTGACTGCCGTCGCTCAGTTTGGTGTAAAATGTGTCGAATCTCTGGAGTTTGGTGTAGGGACGCCTACATCCAATGTTTATTCCGTTCTCTAACAGATATTCAGCACAGCTACTTTCCTTCTCTCCTCTAAACCTGTGTAAAAATGTTCTGTTATTCAACTAGATTAAACTCATAATAATTGTAGCTATGACAAGGTCACATACTATATTAGAAAGAATCTGTGGTGTGACTTTTGGCGGCTAGTGGTTGTTTTACGAATGTGTGGAACATATTACCCTTAAGAATACAATAGCGCAAATTGAACTGCAAACATTTAACTATGTTGCTAATATACCTCATACTCACCAGAAGTACATATTAAAGCATACTTGCCAAAGAGAGAAGTAAATTTTTTTGTGGAAAACTAAGGCCTTACCAAAATAAAACAAATAGAGTTTTGAATTTAGGTTAAGGGTCGGCAACCTGCAGCTAGTAGAGCCACATGTGGCTTCTTACATTACCCAATGTGGCTCTAAATTACTTTATTGAAGTAATTTTCTTTTTTTATTGTAAAGGCCAATAAAGAAAGCTTGGGTGTTTTTTCATGGGATACATGAAAAAAACACATGCATTTGTGCAGTCATTGAAAACAGATATGTGAGAAACAATATAAGTAATTTTGAAAATGTTTGTCCTGTAAACTATTTGGGTTTTCATTACTTAGCATTTTTGCCACAGCTCTGTGTTTCAGAACATTAATCGAGTAAGTCAAACATGCATAAACACCATACTAAGTTTTAAACACCAAAAGCAGATGTAGAAATAAAGATTTTTGTAGTTAAAGGTATAGAGGACAACCTTTTATTTCCGGGTGGATCACCTAAATAAGTGGTCCTCCTAACTGTCAATCATTCTGGTGATATGCTTACGTAAGGCTGTCGAACGTGCTTGTCGCCAGTTAGCTCTTTTTCTTTGCATGCTCACTTTCAGGCGTATATGTGTGGTGAGCTACAGTTTCAGACAGTCATTGAAGCTCACCTTTCTCACCGTGGTTATTTGAAAATGCCCTAGGGTTGTAAGAAAAAAAGTGTCTAGGCAGGTATATCCCAGAATGTTTTTCGATGAGAGCTCCCCATTGCAAAGCATTTTGGGAATTGCTGTCATATCGGCCAGCAGTCGCCATAGACTGCTGCTACCCGACACCGGCGGCTAATAACAAAGATAGTGCAGTCACAGTGCTGTTGAGGAGGAGTTACGTGATCATCAGAGATCATCTGTCTGAACGGTCAGTTAAGTTCAGTATAAAGTCCACTACATAGTCCCCAATCTATATTGTGATTGAAGGATGTATGGGTTAGAGCGGGCGTTCAAACTCAGTAAGCTTGTATGAGCTATGGGAACAGCAACTTTTAAACAGGAGAAATGGGCTTGTGTATCGTGCACGTTTAATAGGTGTTCCCTCTTGGGAGCAGGTACAGGGTTGTGCATGTGCATTTGTTTTTTTCAAGTGGACAGAGTGGTTCTTTGCGAAAAAGAAACTTTACAAAAATTGTCCACAATACCTTTAAGAGAAAAAAAACATACTCCTAACATCCTCTCCATGTGTATAAAGGGACCCTTTCTACTATTACAAAAACAAAGCTACAGTTTATCACACCTGAGTTTACTTCTCTAGCCACAACCAGGCCTGGTTACTTCCAAACCTGTCAAGAAATCGCTCAAATAAGATCTGCTGTCAAAGTAAAGTATAGCGAAAATTCCTTGTAAGCTATATCAAGCGAAGATCTAAGGAAATTCAGAATTAAAAAACATTAGAAATAAAGGGTTAGAAAAATCTTCAGGACTCCACCAAATCCCACTGAGAGACATTACCAACATATGGAGAAAACATCCAACGGTGGGGAATCTTTCTATGAGCTGCCAGCTGACCAGTATCAACTCCTTCAAAAGGAATCCAAAAAAACTGCAGGCCTCACTTGAGTCTCTTAAAGGTATAGTGGGGGATTTTCTTTTTCTGGGTGGATCATCAAAATAAGTAGTCCTTCTAATTGCCAATCATTCGTCTGATATGTTTACGCAAGGCCATCCTACGTGCTCATCTCCATTTTCATTTACCTGTGGTGAGTCTGACATAGTGAAAAAATTGCAAATCTTTTGGAAAGTAAGCTTGTAAGAGCGATGTAAACAGCAACTTTTAAACAGAGCATGCATGAGGATAAATGGATTTTTTTAATAGGCGTTCCCTCTTGGGAGCGGGTACAGCACTGTGCATGTGCATTTTATTTTTTAAATGGAGAGGGCAGGTTTTTTAGAAAACTTGCGCAAAATCCTCCACTATAGCTGTAATTAATGTCAGTGTTTATGCTTCACTATGACATTCAGGCTTGTCTCAATATTTCCAGAACATGATCCCACAGACATCTGTGGACAAACTTTTTTTTAGAAAGAGTGTATGCCCATAACATCTATTGTAAATGGAGCCCTACATGTTAAAAATAGGAACAACAGCACATAACCGCCACTTTATTAAACCCTGTTTTGATAAATAGAACCATGAGTTCCTGAAGAATTCCTGAGCAAGAACCTCCAGCCATCTGTAACTAATCTCAACCTGAAATGAACCTGTGATCTGCAGCAGAACAATGACCCCAAACACAAAGCAGGTTCAACTCTCTAATCAAGATTTTTAGATCCTAGTTAAAGGCCTGACCTGAATCCTATTCAGTTTCTATGGCATTACCTTCAAAAGCCTGTTTATACCTTCCATTCTGTCTGAAATACATCAAGGAGTGGGATAAAATTACCAAAGCTTTTTCACAACAGCTAAGGTAGGTAATTATTGATGCTAAATACTTTTAATAAACTGTTTGGAGAAACTATTTAAAAGGATATCAAATTTATGTTATATTTTTGAACTCAATACCACTGAATGCTTTGTAGGTTTAGCTCTTTTAGCATGATGTATCTCCAGCTTTAAATAGAACTTAGCTTCTAGCCAGAAGTATTTTTATTATCATGAGCATAATAAGTATCTCACCTTCAGAAAAACAACACCTTTAAAAAAGCAGCAGCTTCTATTCTGAACTTTATAGCGTAATCAGCCACAAGAATAAGTATATCAGTAAGTATCAAATAGACCCGGTCATCAATATCTTTGTTCTTTGTCACAAATTTAAGCCATTTTAGTCGACACGTCTTTTTTTCACACTGGCTATTTTGCTTCTTCTGTGTTCTTTTTTGTTTTACTTATGCTTTGTTTGGGTTTCTTTACTAAATTATTAAATAATATTGAAAACTGTGACTAGTGATTCCAAGTTTAATGATTATACATTTAGCAAGATTTCCCTGCATTTAGCTTAAGTTGACTGAGTTTTTATCTTTAAATGCTTTTAAGTTGAAAGTGAAAGAATTTGAAGCAGCCTCATGATCTGTAATTGTTTTACTTGATATAATTTTTTACTTGTTATGTACCTGTCATTTTAATGTATCTATGTTTAATGTATCTTATGTAACTTTGCTGCCTCTTGACCAGGACTCCCTTGAAAAAGAGGTTTTTAATCTCAATGGGATTTTTTCCCCCTGGTTAAATAATTTAAAAAAAAAGTCTAACACCCTGCTAACTCTGAAAGGCTGATAAAGAGTAACATTTCCACAGCATAATTCTCCCATCACCATATTTGATCATAAGGACTGTGTGTGTTTAAAGTATTGCAAGGCAGACTCTATTTACTAGTGCCCCAAGGTGGTCAACCATTATTTTATATTAGTATAACAGTAAAAAATATATATTTTTTATTTTTTTATTGTTTATTTGATTGTTATTTAACAAAGTCAAAACAGTGACCTCAAATATTTTTTTTGTTAGTTCCTCTATGTTGTTACTAGACTATTACCACTAGATACATACCGGCTGGAAAAAGTGTAATTGACGTCTGGAGTTTCCTGCAGGTTCCAGGAACAGTTAACATATTCCAGGTTAATCACAACACACTGCAGATCTATCATAACACAAACATATTGAACAGTTTCATGATACATATGGACAAAAATGTGTACAGCTGCAAATATATAACCTAGAAGTCAAATTCACATTATTATGTAAATTTTTTAACATATGTATTTGTTTCTTTCTTCATTTTTTCCTCTTCAAACCTTTGCATTGATAAATACCTTATCTATGCATTCAGCATAGATAAGGTATGCTGCAAACACTACTATATTATGCTATACTATACTTTTTTTAAACTGTCACAAGTACAGAGTAATGAAATTCACTCTGCATTTAACCAATTCCCTTGGAGAGCAGTGGGCTGCCATTGTGCAAAAAATTGATTATAAAAAATGTTAAGATATACAATAATGTCCTAAACAGCATGCCACACTATTTCTGTCATATTTGTCACAATTGTCCCATATATCCATATATATAGATATATAAAGAGGAATATAATCATATATATATTGTCTTTTCCAAGAATATATATATATATATATATATACATACATACATATAAAAAAATATATATGTAATTATGTATATTTTATCATACATATATATATAGTTATATATATATAAATATATGAATATTTTATTATATATATATATGTTTGGATGTACTGTATATGTATGTATGTATATGTATATATTAGTTATAAAAAATGTAAATATATACAATAATGTCCTTAACAGCATGCCGCACTATTTCTGTCATATTTGTCCCAATTGTCCCTTATATCCATATATATAGATATATAAGGAGGAATATAATCATATATATATATATATTGTCTTTTACAAGAATATATATATATAATTCTGGAAAATTTATAATATATATATATAGTTATAGAAAATGTTAATATATACAATAATGTCCTAAACAGCATGTCACATCATTTCTGTTCCCATATGCATCTACATTTCTATATTATCGATATATAGATATATAAAGATGAATATAATCATATATATTTTCCCCCCAGTATATATATATATATATATATATATATATATATATATATATATATATATATATATATATATATATATATATATATATATATATATATATATACACTATATTGCCAAAAGTATTTGCTCACCTGCCTTGACTCACATATGAGCTTAAGTGACATCCCGTTCCTAATCCATAGGGTTCAATATGACGTCGGTCCACCCTTTGCAGCTAGAACAGCTTCAACTCTTCTGGGAAGGCTGTCCACAAGGTTTAGGAGTGTGTTTATGGGAATTTTTGACCATTCTTCCAGAAGCGCATTTGTGAGGTCGCACACTGATGTTGGACGAGAAGGCCTGGCTCTCAGTCTCCGCTCTAATTCATCCCAAAGGTGTTCTATCGGGTTGAGGTCAGGACTCTGTGCAGGCCAGTCAAGTTCATCCACACCAGACTCTGTCATCCATGTCTTTATGGACCTTGCTTTGTGCACTGGTGCACAGTCATGTTGGAAGAGGAAGGGGCCAGCTCCAAACTGTTCCCACAAAGTTGGGAGCATGGGATTGTCCAAAATGTCTTGGTATGCTGAAGCATTCAGAGTTCCTTTCACTGGAACTAAGGGGCCAAGCCCAGCTCCTGAAAAACAACCCCACACCATAATCCCCCCTCCACCAAACTTTACACTTGGCACAATGCAGTCAGACAAGTACCGTTCTCCTGGCAACCGCCAAACCCAGACCCGTCCATCAGATTGCCAGATGGAGAAGCGCGATTCGTCACTCCAGAGAACACGTCTCCACTGCTCTAGAGTCCAGTGGCGGCGTGCTTTACACCACCGCATCCGACGCTTTGCATTGCACTTGGTGATGTATGGCTTGGATGCAGCTGCTCGACCATGGAAACCCATTCCATGAAGCTCTCTGCGCACTGTTCTTGAGCTAATCTGAAGGCCACATGAAGTTTGGAGGTCTGTAGTGATTGACTCTGCAGAAAGTTGGCGACCTCTTCGCACTATGCGCGTCAGCATCCGCTGACCCCGCTCCGTCAGTTTACGTGGCCTACCACTTCGTGGCTGAGTTGCTGTCGTTCCCAAACACTTCCATTTTCTTATAATACAGCTGACAGTTGACTGTGGAATATTTAGGAGCGAGGAAATTTCACGACTGGATTTGTTGCACAGGTGGCATCCTATCACAGTTCCATGCTGGAATTCACTGAGCTCCTGAGAGCGACCCATTCTTTCACAAATGTTTGTAAAAACAGTCTGCATGCCTAGTTGCTTGAATTTATACACCTGTGGCCATGGAAGTGATTGGAACACCTGATTCCAATAATTTGGATGGGTGAGCAAATACTTTTGGCAATATAGTGTATATATATATATATATACATATATATATAACTGAGGACATTAACATGCGATACTTGATAATAATTTTAAGTATCAAAAACATCAGCAGGCAAATTTTAGTATGAATTGGTACACTATATAATCAAGGTTTGGGTATTTAAGCATCATGGCAATCAGAGGTGGTTTTAGAAAGTTTTTAAAGGGATGACTGAATGCATAAAGGCCACCAGTATAGTATAGTATAGTGTTTTAAAGTGTTTTGCTATAAAGTGCAAAAGATGTAAGTTAAAATGAAAAATAGATTAAAAATATTAAAGCTTTACAGTTGTATTTTTTTTCCAAGTGAAATAATTTCATAAGTGTCCATTGCTCCCTCAATATATCATACTGTTATATTACTGTTACTGTATAGTGTCTTTTTAAGCATTTTTGCATATAGATATAGAAAATAAGCTAATGGAAGAGTAAAGAGATAAAGAGTTACTTTCAATCATTTGACATTTAGATGACATTTTACTGCTGTACAAACATGAACTAGTACAATCGCACCTGTTTTAGGGATGTTTGCCATTTTGTTTAAATTATGAAATAAAAAAATCTCTGAAAAAGGTTTATATGCATGTGCTTTGTTCGTTAAGTAATAGTAAAAATTGGATTAATAATAATAAATAATAACACACATTTTGATTTGATCTACCAGAAGTTTTTCAGGAAATGTGGTAACTTTATAGTTCAGGCATACCCAAAGTAGATTATCAAAGTTATGTTAATAAAACAACCATATGAGTATAAATAAAAGGTAAAATAAGTATTTCAAAGCTCTTACCAGGAGGTTTTTTAGCCATTATTTGCCCAACAAGAGTGAGAAACAGAAACAGTCTAGTCGACATCGTGAGAGACTGAGACGTAATGACTTTAGTGTCTACTTCCGTTTTTTTTACAAAGTAAACCATGTGGTTTTCTGTTTCATGGCATGCATGCCTGCTGTGTGTTATTTATGGTCCCTGATAGACAAGTTCTACATAACAGCAACCATAGTTCCACCTTTTGATTAACAACTATTACTGATTAGTTTATCTTATCTAGTAAACATCTGTCCTCAGCATTGTTCTCTAACCTCCTGCTAAGTGTGCTGCCACATATTAAACATCTACATCAAAATGTAGACACAACTAAAGTGTGTCGCCTATTGAAAAACATCTTGATGATCCCCAAAGCTTTTTATAGAAATAATCTTTAGAATAATGAGACAAAAGTAAAACTCTCTGGAAAGCATTAATCCACTAAAATCTAATGTAAAACTAAAAGTATTTCAAAAGGGAACATATCAACAGTCGAACATGTATGAAACATGAGTTCCTTCTTTTAGGCACACAAGAAACTCCACTTTTAAAAGGCTTATAAAAACAGATAAGATCAGATAAGATAGACGTTATTGATCTCGCAGTGGAAAGATTCACTAGTCATATCGGTTCAATAGTCAAAAGAAAGTGCGAAAAGTAAGAAAAGGTATATGGGGTATATACAGTGCTTCCGCACACACATCCATCTGTGTTCTGTCACGCTTATCCCAAGTAGGGTCACAAAGGTGCTGGTATCTATCTCAGGCTGTCTATGTATGGACAGGTCGCCAGTCCATTGTGGGGCAATGCATATATATACATATATAAAAAAAAACATATATATAACAACTCAAGTCTCTCTCTTTTTTTTTTTTAACAGTGTCCTGTCTGACAATGTGGCAATAAGAATAATTCCCTTGATGCCAAAAAGAGCCCAACAGATTTTACTTTCACAGGTGGAGCAGTAGGGCTGTCGCCTTAGGGTTCAGCTTGATTCATGCATATAAATTGCTTTATTATAATTATGCAGGGGGTTTTACGGATTATATGGACACTGCAATGTAAGTAGAACAGAAGAGGAAAAACAGAAAAAAAAGGAGTAAAGATGAAAGAAAGAGGAGATAAAAGGGAGATAATGATAAAACATTTTCAGTCTGCTTCATTACCTGCAAAGAGATGTAAAAAGAACAGCACAACCAACAGACATCAAGTCTCTTCTTTAACAGGATTAGTGCACATGGTATTAAAGAGGTATTAATATAAATAGGTATTTAAATATATAGTGATTGCACAGGGTATTAAATATATATAGCTTATTGCACAGGGTATTAAACGGTGATTGCACATTAGTTATTGCACAAGTTATCGTAGTTATAGTGCCATATTGTAAATATACAATATATATACTATATATATTGTATTATTATACAATATAATAGTCATACCACTACCTCACCGTTGTTCCTTACCTACTACACTTTAATGTTAAAGTAAATCCACCTGTATATAAGCGTGCTATGCTCCAGCATCAGCGTGTGGTACGGCAGCTGCTCTGCTGCAGACAGGAAAGCTCTGCAGAGAGTAGTGAAGGCTGCACAGAGGACTGTTGGAGTCAACCTCCCCACCACCACAGACATCTACACCTCCAGATGCAGGAAAAGGGCCTCCTGCATCATGAAGGACCCCACTCACCCAGCACACTCACTTTTTGTCCCGCTACCCTCAGGCAGGAGGCTGCGAAGCATCAAATGCAGGACAACCAGACTGAGAAACAGCTTCATACCAGAAGCTGTGAGACTCTCAAACTGTCCCTAACAATAACTTGGTCACTTCAACCCCTAACCACCCCAATGACACTGTATTTGCAGTTTACACTCAGACGCTTTAAAATGTTGCACTACTAAATATATCTTCCCACGCTGCTACATTACTCATACTTCATCCATCCTGTACATTCCTATTAATATACATTTTATTTTCTACTTCTTGTTTTTATATATCTGTAAATATTTTTTCTATTTATATAATTTGATCTTGTAGCTAGCACAATTTGATCTTGTAGCTAGTTTTTATAATTTATTTTTTATATTCGGATGTAACTGGGGCCGTGACTCTCAATTTCGTTCTACCTCATGTAACACGTGATGTGAATGACAATAAAGTCTCTTGAATCTTGAATCTGGATTGTACATATGTCACCTCAAACCTCTGTGCTACTTACCTTGTATTTTTTTTAATCTTTTTATTTTTTATTTCTTATTTTTATTTTATTTTGTTCTTCACTGTGTGCAATACATGTACACTTGCACCTTAATCCTTATTTATCTTGATATACTGTATATACCTGGATATACTGTATATATATATATATATATATATATATATATATATATATATATATATATATATATATATTGTTTATTCTTCTTAATGCACCTTTTTTCTCCTTGTTTGCACCTTCTTTAACTACTATGCCAATATGTGACGAGTGAATTTCTCCACTGAGATCAATAAAGCCCATCTAATTTAACCTAATATAATCTAAAGTCTGACAGCAGCAGGGTTGGCAGCAGGGTTGAGGCCCACCGCCGTAGTGGTCTTCTCATCAGAGACGACAATGACCAGAACTACAGAGAGGAGGTGGAGCAGCTGGTGGACTGATGCAAAGATAACAGCCTGATCCTGAACGTGGAGAAGATGGAGGAGATTATCTTGGACTTCAGGAAGAACCGGCCTAACCACGCTCCACTGCTCATCAACAGCTCAGCTGTAGAGTTGGTCAGCAGCACTAAATTTCTGGGGGTGCACATCACAGACATCCTCACCTGGAATGTAAACACCACCTCACTGGTCAAAAGGGCACAAAAGCGTATGTTCCTCCTGGGGAGGATGAGGAGAGCCCACCTGCCGCAGCCCATCCTCTCGACCTTCTCAAGAAGCACCATAGAGAGCGTTCTGACAAGATTTCTCACTGTGTGGTTTAGAGGCTGCAGCGCCTCAGGCTGGACGAAAAATGTGAAGAGTAAAGAGCACAGCAGAGGCGATCATTGAGGCTCCTCTTCCCTCCATAAAAAACATTTCATCCCAGCGCTCCATTCTCCCTGCTGCCCTCTGGGAAGAGGCTTTGAAGAGATTCTTCCCCACTGCCATCAGGCAGCTGAACTGTTGAGAAAACTCTAAATCATGTTACAAACTCTGCATCACACTGACAACACCAAACCAAAAACACTGCGTAATTGAACCATATATTTTTTAATGCTCTGAACTTCCATATCAATGTGTTTTTTTGCACCGTTTTTTTCCTCCCACACTTTTTCCATTTGATCACTGCTGCACATTAAGAAATGGAAATGTCTTGAAAGCTGTACAAAACGAAATTCAGTTTTGTAAAAACTCTGTGTATACAAAATGACAATAAAAGTTGTCTAAGTCGAAGTCTCAGAATGACCTGCGGTAGCGCTCCTTTTGAACACCTGTTAGACAAAAAAAAAATTGCTGCTGTCTATTTAAAGTTCAGCATGGAAACTAATCTAGAAGTTTCCACATAACCGTCCTCAATCAGAACATTTATGCTCATCATGCTCACGTCTTCCAATTGAAGGGAGATGAAATGCCACTTACTGCAAACCCTTGATGGTGGAACGTACGGGGTTCACACTGTAGGGCCCAGTATATGGAACTGGCACACGTCATTTAAGCACTTGATTAAAATATGAAACAAAAAATGGAGGGGATTTTTCATGGTGCAGAGTTTCTGCAATTTTCTGATGAATCTGTTTTAACAAACCTGACTCAACCAATAAGGTCATTATCTAAGATTCATAGAGCCTAAATATTACATAAGGTTGCTATGATCGGTTTACGAATCTGACCCACATGCAGAGATAACCACTCAGAGAACAAGTTTAACAGGTTTATTCAAGGAGTATGGGAGTAGGATCTGGTACTCAGAGAGCTGATGACCCAGAACTAGAAGTGAGAAGGGAAGTTCAGTGGTTAGTTCAGGTTCTGTGGGATTCTTGGAAGCTCTGAGATTTTGCAACGTAGAGAACTCACGTTTGAGGAGGGCCTTGTTAGTCCTTGAATCCAGACTGTGTGGTAAATCCAGAGAAGGGTGCACACGTTGGAGGGCGGACAGGTTTGACAAGTATTGGACCCAGAGGAGTAATGGAGAGGACTGTCACTCAGATTTCCCAGATTTGGGTACTTGAATGGAACATGAGGAGGTTTACCCCTGCTCAGTGAAACTCAGTTTTTTCCTTCCAGGGGAGAGAAGGTGGAGGAATCCAGTAACACAGGAAAGCTTCCTGCCGAAGAGCAAAGACAAAAACTCGTTAGACTCAGAGAAACAAAGCTAGGTTAGACTCAACTAAACTCAGCTTGGCTAGAGTACCCAAAACTGGCAAAGCACTCTGGCGCCGAGGTAGTGACAGTCCACTGCTCAAATACTCCTCCAGATAATGATCCAATGACAGCAAGGACAGGGCACCTCCAGCTGGTGGAAAACGGAGACACACAAACAGACTACACAAACTGGATTCCTAACAAAGGTAGAAATCTCGCCATGTAATTCAGGTTTGAAACCCTAGAAACAGATCTACATGTTACAAGGCATTACTGCTCAACAACTTAGGTTTGAAACCCCCTGCTTTAAAATGTCAAAACTACACCTTTAGAATGAGATATGATCATGGGCGTAGGTTTGCATAGGGAGCATAGGGACATGTCCCTACCAAAATTTTGGACGGACCCATTTGTCCCTACCAATAATTGGATGTAAACAACATGTTTATAATTTACTATACAGCAGCCGCTTCTTTTCCTCTCGCAGCTTCTCTGCCTGGTAGCTGCAGCTGCCTGCTCTTTCCTGTCCCTTTCACATAGCAGCGCATCAACTGTGCTGCGCGGTTTAACTCTCTGATTATTCTGCCTTAAGTTCCGCCTTCTCTCTTTCTGATTGCGTGTTTTCTAGTCTGTATGTGCGCGCGCGCGGGCGCTTGGAGCGCAAAAAAAAAGACGCTAAAATAAATTTATATTGGGCTACGAAACTAGTCCGAATTAAAACAAAACTTATTATCTAAGCTAAAACAGGCGAAAGCTTCTGATTGGAGTTCTGTAAAGAAGCAGGAGAGAGTTTTATTGATTTGTGGAACTTGAGAAATGTAGGACGTTAGGATTTCTTTTATTTTATCTTTTAATCAGAAACGTTTAAACGTTTCCTTTGGAGGAGTTCTGGATGGAGAATATTGACAGACAAAAACTTTTTTTCATCCTAGGTCCTATCCTGTTCTCTCTTTATTAGGTCCCGCTCGGATCCATACTTGGAAAACATGGGATTTTTTTGCATTGCTATGCAGATGATAGTCAAATTTAAAGTATGTCCCTCTTAAAAAGAAAGAAGTCCACTCTATCACTGCCTTAATCAAGTGTCTTGATGACATAAAGTCCTGGATGTCTCTGAACTTTTTACATTTTAATTAAAGAAAGACTGAAGTGACTGTCTTTGATTAAACCACTGGAATAAATCTGGGCTCTTTGGTCCAGCATATCAAATCAATCATCACTAAATCAGAGGTACTGAAAGTGGTTTCAGGTCTGAATTGTGCCAGCCAAATCAGGGCAGTTGTTACAGTAAACCAAGTTTTTATCGTTTGAGACAGCTGGCCAAAATTAAGCCAATTCTTTTAAGTCCACAGTTGGAAATGGAAATCCATGCCTTTGTTACCAATAGGCTGGATTATTGCAATGCCCTCTGTGCACATAGAAGTATGACCACATGTCCCCATTTTGGCCTCACTCCACTGTCTGCCCATATGTTTTGGAGTTTTATACATGTTAAAATGCTTTTATTTGTTTTTAAATCCCTGAATGGGCTCGCCCCAGCCTGCCCCTCTGTGCTTCTGCATCCTTATAGACCTACTCGCTCTACCCGCTGGTCAGCTGCTCCTGTTGCAGCTTCAAAGCACTGAAATGTCCTGCCTTAGTGCATCAGACAGGCCTCTTCTCTGAAAAATTTTAAACCTCTTGTCAAAACCCACCTTTCTATTTGGCTTTTAACACCTAGCAAGAATATTTTTTATATATATACTATATTTTTTAATCAAATGTATCTTTTATTCGATTGATATTTTACCCAATTTTATTTATTTGATTTAGTGGATGTTATTTTTACAGCTTTCTTTTTCCTTTCTGCTGTTTAGTTTTTTTTATCTGTACTGTTTTAGTTATTTATTTATTTGTTCATTTTCTCTTAGGTACAGCAATTTGGTCAGCTGTGGTTGTTTTTAAGTACTTAAAAAATAAAATTGGAGTAGATTTGAAAAAATTTATATCAACATATACACCTTTTCTAAAGGGTGAATACATGTTACATTAGCTAAATAAATATCTTTTTTACAACCTTTTGAAAGCCTCACTTCAAATTTCAACTTATTAATTTTACTGCTAATATTTGTCCGTATTTATAATATTTTGCACGGTGTTATTATCACCGTAGCATAATATTTGGTGTTTCCATTTACTCTGCTGAAAAGCAGCATCTGTGGGTTTTGTTTCCTCTTACAGGAAACAGTTTTTTTTTTCTTCTAAGATAATGCTTACAAACCTCCATAGTGGGGCTTTTCATGTGCTGTGGTATCTTAAACTTGTATTTGCACACAGTTTGGTTGTTGGAGTAGTTTTTACTAAAATGTTAAATTCTTCATGGTGAAATGTGCATCATAGCTTATTAACAAACTACAAAAATGCATATTGTATTATTATTTCTATGGATTTTGAAAGAAAGAAAGTTAATTAAAAACACAACGCCTCTTCTCATCATCTGTTTCTTTTTTTCTAGCTCACTTCTACAGAATCTGATTAGGCCATATCACATTTTAGAAAAACTCCAACTTACTGCACGTCATCCTGTACCAAACCCAAATACCATAGAAAAGAAAATATTTTCCTTGATATTGAATAATGTTGTGAATATGACGTTTGTAAATTGCTCACTATAATTCTAACAAAAGGTATATATTTATATTTAAATCTGCTAACCGGAGACCTTTACCTACAGAAAGTTAAGATTCCTCAGGAACATTTTCAAAGACAGTCATTAAAAGATATCTTTATAATGACCTGTTAAATACACTTGCAGCCACTAGCTCTGTCCCACTTACTGACTGGTTCTTTTTTTGTAAAAATCCTTGCATTTACACTTTTGCATAGTTGGATAATCCAGGCCCAGAACGTTTAGAGACTGTAAAGAGTTTAGCTCCAATCGTTGCATTCTCAGCTCCACATACTAACGGGGGCCCAAGACCTGTTGAACAAGATGATCTGGATTATCCACCTTTGCATATCTTGGATATTAGTACTGTTGCTAGCAATATTGTCCTTCAGCAAAAGGGCCCTGGGTTGCAATTTCAGCCTGGAGTCTTCAGGCTTGTGGTAAACATGTACTCCTATGTGTGCATGGGTTTTCATTAGGAACTCTAGCTTCCTCCCACAGTCACAACATTAAATATGATGCTAATGTGTGTGTGTTTTTTTTAATTAAAAATTGTGTCTGCATTTGAGTGGGAATACATGGTTTCTTGTTCATTTTGTCTCCATGTGGCCCTATAATTGTTCACTTACTGCTGGAAACTGCAAGGATAAAAGCCGGTGGGCCTACACACACACACACACATTATATATATATATATATATATATATGTATATATACACACACAAGATTGGATGACTGTACCTGGACCACTCACTTTTGCACCGCCTGCAGCTGGTACAAAATGCAGCTGCCCGTCTCTATACTGGCACACGTAAACGTGACCACATATCACCGGTCCTAGCTTTGCTGCGTTTGCTCCCAGTTGCTTTTAAAAAAGATTTGTATGTTATTGTTGTTTTTAAAGCTCGTAATGGCCTAGCCCCTGAGTATCTGACTGAGCTATTCAAAATCCATGCTCCTGCCAGAACACTGAGATCCTCAAATCAGCTGCTACTGGCCACACGTAAAACCAGACTTAAAAACCCAAAGGTGACCGGCCTTTGTGGCAGCGGCACTGAGGCTCTGGAACAACCTGCCCTGCCACATTCGATCTGCAGGATCTTTTACAGGTTTTTAAACCCTGCCTAAAATCCCACTACCTCTCCTTGGCTTTTAATCAAGTCTTAGCAAACATGTAGCAAAAAAAAAAAAAAGATTTACATTCTTAGTTTAATTTTAACTTTTTTATTTGATTTTACTTTCATTCTTTTTTATTGCATTGTGTTTATGTCTTTTAGCTTTTAAGGTTTTACCATATTTCCTGCAACTGTGATATCTGTACAGCAGTATATATATATATATATATATATATATATATATATATATATATATATATATATATATATATATATATATATATGCATACATATACACATACACACATATATATTATATATATGTATATATGTGTATACACATATTTATACATATACATACACATACATACATGTACATACATACAAATATATATTTATATATATATATATATATATATATATATATATACATATATATACATAAATATATATACATACACATATATATGTATTTATATCTATAGATAGATAGATAGATAGATAGATAGATAGATAGATAGATAGATAGATAGATAGATAGATAGATAGATAGATAGATAGATAGATAGATAGATAGATAGATAGATAGATAGATAGATAGATAGATAGATAGATAGATAGATAGATAGATAGATAGATAGATAGATAGATACTAGCACTGCGGGGGTCGCTTTTTGTCTCACACGGTAAATGAGTCACGAAAGGACTTTTATTTTGAAGAACCGGAAGTCTCAGTGTTTTGGTGCAGGCTGCGGAAGAAGCTATCAGCTGTGTTCCACTGAGAGAGGGCCGATCCCTTCAGCTTCAGCGGCTCCAAGATAAACGACAAATGTGACTTCAACAACAAAAGGTCAAGATGGAATTCACACTGAGGCGCTTACTTGGTGTCAAACCGCCAAAAGCCTCCATTCTGCTGCCTTTCCTCGCCCCGATCCTAGCGGTCGGCAGCCAACAAGGCGACAGCAGCGCTGCTATGGATAACGTCGTTACGGAGCGGATGGCTGAGGAGAGCCACCGACAGGACAGTGCCTACCTGCTGATCTTCATCATGCTGCTAACGCTCACCATCCTCACCATATGGCTTTTCAAGCACCGCCGGTTCAGGTTCCTCCATGAAACAGGGCTCGCTATGATCTACGGTAAACAGCTAGCTAAGCCTTGGCAGTCAGCTAATGAACTCAGACTAAATAAAATGAACCTTCATGATTGTGACGTCGCTGCTTAAACTTGACCTGTAAGCTGATTAAACGCTTTCTCCTCACGTGTCTGGGAACACGGGACACCTTAGGCCTTATGTTTACCTCAGTTATTAAAACAATAACTTGGCAATGAAAGGATGAAAGGAACCGTCCCCAACACAACAGACATAAATATAAACCAGAAGTCTTTCTGTTATTCATTCCCTATATTTGTCCCAGGGAACATTTAATGAGCTGATCTACCTCTTGATTCTCTCAGAGCAAATGGTAGAAATAAAGGTGACCAAGTCAGGCTATTATGGGGCAAATCTAATAGAACAAGGATGGGAATACTTTTATTAATTCTTATATGATAAAGAAATAAGAAAAAAACTTGTTTGACAAGCTCCAAGTAGCCACAAGCATCACTAATGCATGGGCAAAACACACACAAAAGCAATGAGTTGGAAATAATGGCTGCTTTATGTATCTGTCCCACATTTTTTCACACTAAAAGGATGATTGACAGACATGTTTATCACATGCCTGTTCCTATATATATCAGAATCAAAATCAGACATACTTTAATAATCCCAAAGGGAAATTACTTTTGTTACATGCTCCAGATATACAAACATTTATATACTATATATATATATATATATATATATATATATATATATATATATATATATATATATATAGACATAAACCATATGTATTTAAGCTCTTAGTATGAAAGAAGGAAACAATAAGTCATAGTGTATTTGGCCTAGTGGGTTAGAGCAGTGCGCTTGTGCTCCGAGAAGGTTGCAATTACCTGGTTTGAACCCCACAGCCTCAGGGTTCCTGAGCAAAGACCTTTAAATGCAGAGATTGAATTTCCCCATTGTGGGAAAATAAAGGGATTGATATTAACATTTCAAATAAATAAAATCGTCTGCGTTACCCCCTTCCCCCATTGCAAATATGTCCTTGTCACCATGTCATTTTATGCAATGTTATTATATTTTAAAGTACCATTTGTAATATGATTCAGATGTCAAGAATAGTTTGCTTTGTAATGATGTATGAGATGGACTATTATTTTTTTTTTCCTTAAGCTTTGAGTCAACAATCTGATTTTAACCCATTCTGGTTTCTATTAATGAGCTATAATTTTAGAACATTCTAAATCTACTTCTCCAGCTTTTCTGCTGGGAGCAGTCATTTATAAGAGAAAAACAGGATTATACTATTTTAATCCAAAGAATAGCGATGTACATGCACAACCCTGTACCCGCTCTCCTCAAGCACACTCTGTTTAAAAGTTGCTGTTTGCATCACTCATACAAGCTTACTTTCCAAAAGAAGATTTGCGATTTTTCTAGTGTGTCAGACTCACCACCAATATGTGAAAATGTCTTTACGAAAAACCGTAGCCCACCATACATAATCACCCAAAAGTGCACTTGCTCAGAAAAAGATAGCAACCTGGGGACGAGGACGTAAGACGGACTTCCGTAAACGTATCACCAGAATGATTGACAATTAGGAGGACCAATTATTTGATAATCCACCTGGAAAAAGAACATCCTCCACTATACCTTTAAAATCAGTTGCATCAATTGTCTGCATGTGTGGCCTTTTTTTGTTTTTACATTTATTTTAAAGCCCGTAACAAACACTAAAAAGTAAATATTGAGTCCCCTCAATGACAACTTTCAAACGGAAAAAATGTTACAATGAGAATCAAATTTAAAAAAAGATCAAAGGACTCTTTTGTTTCATTACAGCTTTTATATTTCAACAATACTGCAGCGAAATGATTCTTCTAACTCTGTCTTCATCTCACCTCTCGTTTCTCCTTATAGGTCTCTTGGTGGGTGTGATCCTGCGCTATGGCATCCATGTGCCCCAGAGCATGAGCGACGTGGTCCTCGAATGTGCCGTCAACGCCAGCCCCGCCACTTTGCTGGTCAATGTCAGCGGAAGGTTCTACGAGTACACGCTTAAAGGGGAAGTGAGCCGAGGCAAGGACCACCAAGTGCAGGACGATGAGATGCTGCGAAAGGCAAGAAGCATCAGTTCTTAGTTGCTGAAACACAAAACAACCGTGGCAGTGATGTGACTATTTGTATTATAGCTGGTAAAAGTGTATTAAATAGAAAAAAAATTATGGTTCGACCAGGTTATTATTATATTAAAAATCAATTTTTAAGGTGTTTACTAGGGGTGGAACAAAATCCATGGTTCGGGTCGGTTTACGGTTTCGTGGTCATGGTTTTCGGTTCAAATCGGTATATGTTGATTGTTACACTGGAAAAAAATCGAAATCTAGATAAGGTTTTTTTTCTTAAAATAAGAGTATTTGTTCTTAGATTTAGTAGGTAAAAGAGAGATTTTGCCAATGGAACAAGACAATTTACACTAACAATAAGAAAACACAATTGCATTGTCTTATTTCAGGTGCATTTTATCTAATTTTCTTATTTTAAGAGCAAAAATACTCATTCCATTGGCAAACTATCTCATTTACCTACTCAAATTAAGCGTAAATACACTTAATTTAAGACATTTCTACTTATTTAAGATCCTTTTTCCAGTGTACCCCGAAATCCCATAAAAATTAATGAAAAAATCCAAAACGATTTATGAATTGTAATTATTTTTTATGGTCCGCGGAAACCCTGGATCATTTCTGCATGTTTTGCTGCTTTGAATTTAATCATCTCGCGCATGCCCTCTACGATCTCCAAGGAACTGAGAGCGGAGCGGACGGGAGCCACAGCAGAGGCTTTAGGCTTTGCTTTGTGCAGGCGGTCTGGAGCAGAACGGGTCATCTCCGTCTGGCTGCACATCCCGATTCACACTCCATTCCAGTAGTTGGCGGTAACGCCCCTCCGGAAGTTGCTTGCCAACCAACACAAAACAGAAGAAGAAGAACAACTATAAACAACAATCGAAGGCTCTGTTCGAAAACCTAGGACGCATCCTCCAAGGATGCGGTCTACCTAGACTGGATCCTTCGAAGTCCTTGAAAATAAGGAGGCCGGAAGAGTTTAGGCTGTGAATTCAACCAGGTCTACCCTTCGGCGTGTTTTACCGCCGTATGCTCTGTTGCTTAGCAACCGTAAACGTTGACACACAAAGCAGGAAAAGAATGAATACAGAAGTTTTCAAAACTGTTTATTTATTTCTTTTTTATTGTGAAGTGAACAAAGACTACACTCACAAGAATCCAGAGTGGAATAAATGTTCCAACAGCCGGGAGCAGGAACAAATAAAATCAAATGTAATGATAGAAACCTTAGTTAGTTAAATAACCTGCTGCTGTCATTCTGCACATCTCTAATGTTGCTGCTATTTTCAAATATCCATTACTGGAAAAATGTCCATAGCTGCATATTGGTTATTTATTCCCCAGTTTTATATTGTTAAAACACTTTACATAATTGTATTGTTTATATTTTAACTCTTCCCTATTATGTTATTCTTATACATTTTTCTAAGGTCCACATTTGTGTGACCATTTTCAATAATCTTTCTGCTGCTGTAAATTTGTCCATTGTGGGACAATAAAGGGATTTTCTATTCTATTCTATAAAAGGGGTAGAAAGATATAAGTAAATCTAAACAATGTATTTATAAAAAATACTGCAAAATCTCTAATATTCAACAACAAAAAATACATAGTTAAGCATATTGTGCAAAACAGCAATAAAAAGATAAAAATCCTATCAGATTTATAGTTCCCACCCTGCAGATATATTAGAAGCTGTCCTTTAATTACAGCCAAACCCATTTACACAGTAGCAGATTAAAACCTTTAGATAAATTAAACACTACCGCCACATATCTGACTCTATAACCATTAAAACAACTATTTTTCATTCATCTCAGACGGAACTATTCACTGACTTGTATTATATTAAACTGAACTTCCAATTTTCACCACCGTTCGGCGCCAAGTAACATTTCCTCTGATCACAGCTTGCTTGGTCTCGCAATGAATCCTGGGTAAACCAAGGATACCGAGGATACACCAGACCCGTCCTTCAAATCGGGCAAAAAGAAGGACGCATTTTAAGGCCGCATAACGAGGACTCTTGGAATCCGACCAGACCTCGGCGCCGCGCTATGACGTAATCGGCCTACGAATCCGGTCTTCTAAGGATGCGTCCTAGGTTTTCGAACAGAGCCGACATCTTCTCCACGCAACATTTTCATTTGCTTGATTCCCTCCTTCTTAGTCTTCTTCTTGTTTTTAATGGCGGTTGGCAGACAACTTTTGGTGCATAACCACCACCAACTGCTTGATTTCCTCCTTCAATATTGGCAGTAATACTGCAGATTGTCACTAGGAGGCGAGGAACCGAGATAGCGTGATGTGTAAACGGTCGTCAGAACCGAGCTCGGCCTGGTTAACTGATCCGAGCTCGGACCGCTCTCGGCATGGATCATTTTTTCAAGGGTAGTGTAAATGGGGTAAATTGCTTGAATGCAATCCCTCACACTAAGCATGCTTGTAGCAACAGTGGAGAGGAAAACTCGCTTTTAACAGGAAGAAACCTCCAGCAGAACCAGGCTCAATGTGAGCGGCCATCTGCGGAGGCCGACTAGGGTTCAAGGAGACAGAAGCAGAAATACAAAAAGCAGCTGTAAAAGGCGGCCCCATCCAGAAATCACGCAGCCAGGCAGACGAGTTCCAAGCCAGCTCCCATCTAAGAGGATGAAGAGAGCACATCCAGCTTATCACAGTCAGAGAAACAGGACTACACTGGAAAAACAGGCATATCTCTAACATCTATAAACAAAGGTGTTGATGGCAGCAGCACAGCAATATGAAGTCATTTAATTAAAAAATATGATGGAACAGTGACACCCATAGATGGTTTTATCCGCCCTTGTAAATTTGCACACGGAGACAGAAAAGTAGTAAAAATTGTTCTATAACATTTTATTCTTTTATTTTCTAGGTGACCTTTGACCCAGAGGTGTTTTTCAACATTTTGCTCCCTCCTATAATCTTCCATGCTGGTTACAGCCTAAAAAGGGTAAGAGATTCTGAATGTTACAGGAAATTTGACCCTTTTTTCTGATCCCTTTAAATATAGACTCCACTGACCTTTGTCATTTTGCTGTCTGCTTATAATTTGTTTTTTGTCTTCTTAGCTGATTTATTGAAATGCTGCTTCAATTTTTCCACATCAGGTTCCTTCCTCGGGGTGGAAGCTGGTTTGGGAAACTTCATGTTTCCATCCTTTCTGTACTTATTTTTTTCTCTCCGTTCATCTTCCAAATGTAACGTGTCCATCAGATGCAGCCACATTTGTACAAAAATGTTCCAGAACAAAACATTTTGCATCATAACAAATGCATCTGTTGGCTACAGTTTCCATGTTTTTCCTGTCTTTCTATTTGGATGAATTCCTTTAAAGTGATGAACGCAGCCCATTCCGGTACTTTTCTTTTTGAAGGTCTTTGTTTATCTTTTTGATATCTTACATGGTCTTTTCATTCAGGCCTTTTCCATTATTTTGCAAATCGGTTAATCTGTCAATTATTTTTTCGATTAATAATCGAATAGCCAAAGGTTCCTTAAAGAGGATTTTTGATGAAATCAAACCAGGTGAAACTAAAACTTATCCACTTGTGGAGTTCTGGTTAGAGCATATTAATGGATGAAAACATTTTTAATCCGAAATGCAAAATGTCTAATATTTTTTGTACAACCTTGGAATAATTACTACTTTAAGTGGGTCGCTCTGTCAGATAAAGGCATGTTTTAGAGTCTCTATACTCCAGTTAATGATTAATCTATTAATAAATCAGTTGATGATTATCTCAACAATCGATTAATCACAATCTGTTTAATTGTTCTAGCCCTACTTTCCATAGTGTCACATAAGGAAGCAACGTGTTTGAGCTTTTGCTTTAAAATGTCTGTGCCTCCATTTAGCTAGAAACATGTCACCAATAGGTTCTCTCATTAGTGACATGGCTGATGACAAATTAATCGGCCCTAAATTAACCTGAAACAGTCAATCTCAAATTTTTTTAATCCTAACTCAGCATAACAGGAAACCTTTAGCCAGTGACAAATTGTGTTTATTGCTCTTTTATGTGGTTTATATGAGTTTACTTTTTCAAATAAAAATTTATAAGGTTATATCCAGGTAATCCTGGGAGAACATGAATAGTTCTTTAAAATTACAGTTTTTTTTTCTGGTTTTAATGTTTTTAAAGCCTGTGACTAATTCTTACTCATCATTTTTCTTCGTAGAGGCATTTCTTCAGAAACATTGGCTCAATCCTGGCCTATGCTTTTATTGGAACAGTCATATCCTGCTTTTTTATCGGGTAAGTCAATCAATCTCTGATATAAACAGCAGGAAGTACAACAGGAAGTACGTTAGGGATCTGATCCGTTACTTATATTAAATATTTGTTCGATATCAGCGCAGAACCAATACATAGTCTGCATCTAAGCCGATTGTTATTCTCATACCTTTGGTTGTTTATTGTTCTCTGTTTGATTACAATTTATTTCTACATAATGAGAGATAAAAGCATGTTTGACTCACACTGATATCCTATTGGTATCAGTATCAATTAATATCAACTCAAAGATTTAATATCTTTATGGTATCAAAAATGAAAAAGTCGTATCAGGTCATCCCTGAAGTAGACCATCAGCACTAGACTATATAAGTTTAAATTCATAAATAAAACCTAAGCTGTTGATTGGTTGAAAGACAGTCCATGTTGTTGATGGCTCGCATTTCCCTTTCAGGCTCATCATGTACGGCTTTGTGACTTTTATGAAAGCTGTTGGCCAGATCGGTGGGGATTTTTTCTTTACCGACTGCCTTTTTTTTGGGGCCATCGTCTCGGCAACAGACCCAGGTAGGAGGCGCAATCGAACCTCAGTCAGCCGCATGAAATATTAATATAGAAAGCAGTCATTTGATTCCCCCGTGATGAAAAATGCATGCAACAACGTGGCTGAAACTCCCAGTTCTTGCATGCATCACGTGAGCAGCGTGGACACATTTTAATCGCTGGAGAGAGTTTAAGAGGCATTCTGTGCTTTTGTCCCCTTCTAAAATTGTTGTTTTTTTCCTTGTTGCCTCAGTGACGGTACTAGCAATCTTCAATGAGCTGAAGGTAGACGTGGACCTGTATGCTTTACTGTTTGGAGAGAGCGTTCTCAACGATGCAGTGGCCATCGTCCTCTCGTCGTAAGTCTAAAACGCTCTGCAGAGCTGCGTCGCCGTGGTCATATGTTGAAGAATTGCACTAGGAAAGATTTTTTTCCCCCCGTGACCCTTCCCTGTGCTTTTACAAGCTAACTGTGACTCTCATGGACATGAACCACACTAACATCAACATCCCTGTCATTTCACTGCCTGCCTTTCTTCACCCGTCTGTGTCACTGACCTCCTGCCCGTACGTATGTTTGCATCTCTGCATGTAGCGTCCTCCTGCGCTTTGAAAAGCAGAGCAGGCAGGGGGCTGGAGCTGTTCACTCTGCTGGAGAGGACAGCTCGGTTATGGGCGAGGAGATGGAGGAATGGCTGGGAGGCAACCAGACATTCACTCCTCGTGGGTGGGTTTGGGTTGGATGGACGGCGTGCGTTTGCTTGTGATAAAACTTTAGACTATTTTTTGTTGTTGTTGTTTTTGTTGCTGTGTTTAAATCTTTAAAATAAAATGTAGACTTTACCTTTAGGAAAATCTCTCCCCTCCTAATTATCACAGCCCCCTTTTTTCTCCTTTTCCTTATGTCATTCTCAGTTTGCTCCATATTCCAATCACCACGCTTGTTTTCAGAAAGTCAGACTTTATAATATTTTTACTAACATGCAAGTTGCAGTAGTTTATTCTTTAATGGTAATAAACCAAACCTAATGTTTCTAGTTAGTCTTCAGCTTGCAAACCTTCCATACTTTTATTTATATGCTTCCTCTGCTGAGTGTCTTTCTCACTGCCGGACGGTCTACCCAGTTCTAAGAAAGTATGATTTCATCACCTTCTCTTCCTGTCTTCTTAGAAGGACTGAACCTCTGTTTTTCCTTTTAAATGTTTCTCTGCACTCTAATCGCCCTTCAGTTCCATCGTGGCGTATCAGCCAGCGGGCGACAACAGCCACAGCTTTGAAGCCATGGCCATGCTGAAATCCTTCGGCGTCTTCCTGGGCGTCTTCAGTGGCTCCTTCTCACTCGGTGTGGCTAATGGAGTCATGACTGCTCTCATATCCTTTTATTTAATGATGAATTATGGGTAACCTTATTGACCTTGAAGAGTTTCTTTCATGCAACATTGCATTAAACGCAATGCCCGCCACAATAATTAGCACCTGCTGCTAAAAATGGTTGAAAAGCTTTAACTAAAAAAATCTTCTGCAGCAGGATCATTTCAAAGTAAAAGACAAATTTCCAGCTTTTATTTGGAGCAACATTACAGGTCAGGAACTGTCTAAAGAGAAATGGCTGTTTGCCTAAGCCTCTTCATAACTACTGTGGAAGCATCTTGATTATTGTTCTTTTTTTAAATGGGTGACAAACAAGGCTGGATCAGAAGCCAAAAGGGTAAGATAAGATAAGATAGACTTTATTGATCTCACAGTGGAGAAATTCATGTCTCCCATTGGCGCAATAGTCGAAAGAAGTTGCCAGAAGGAGGAAAAGGTGCATGAGGTATATAAAGTGCCACATATATACTGTGGATCAAGGAAAAAAAGAAATAGGGCAGAGATTTAGGGTGATTTATGTACATTTAAGGTGACTTATACACATATAGATTTGGCCTTGTACATTACAGTGGTACCAGGTAAGGAACGACAGTGAGGTAGTGAGATAACTATAACAGCTGAAGTCTCTTATTGAATAGGATTATTGCACATGTTATTAAATAGTAATACCCTCTCTTATCTCACTTATCTCCCTAAGGTAGATAAGAAAAAGTGAATTTCCACAGCAACAACAGCATGAGGCGACATGTGCGACACAAAGTCTCCATTACGCCCATTAAATAAGGTCTATTCTGTGCAGCAGTCTCAAACATAAGCCTGCCTGGTTTGCTTTTGATCAGGGGTGGGGGTTCGTATAGTGGTGAGTGTCCCCGTCTGTCACATGGGGGACAGATTAGTTTCCCCTGACAGAGAGATACACATGTATATATTCTACTTTGTTAGTCGAAGCTTCTGCTAAATGCTGAAACAACATAAACATTTATTAAGACGGTATCTGTATATAAGTGATCTAGTCAGATGAGGCTTTGTTTGATCTTTTTAAAGACACTCCAAGTGGTTTAGTTTAGAGAGAACACAGGAGGATTTAAAGACATTTTCTAAATGAGATAGAAAGAATACTCTTTATGCTCCAACTGAGTGCTGCTCCTTTTAGAAAGCTTTTTTGTTTTTTGTTTTTTTATGAAGTATTGATACCAGGAATGCATCTGTTGGCACAAGTAGCCACTAATAGGAGGATCTTTATTTTTTTCTTGCTGTTGTCCTTAACTTGTAGTTTTCCTCACGTTACAAAGTTTACTAAGCTGAGGGACTTCCCTTTACTGGAAACGGGCTTATTTTTCCTGATGTCGTGGAGCACCTTTCTGTTGGCTGAAGCCTGCGGGATGACGGGTACGTCCGCTGTCATAAAGCACGCTCGCTGATAAAACAGCTACTCTGCTTTCATGTTTTCAGTCTTCCTGACAGCTTTAAAGCAGAAGAGTTATTTTAGTGTGGAGAATAAGAATTTCCTTTTCAAGTAGCTTCTTATACCCTCTGTACTTCCTGTGACTTCATTTTCAAACTTCTCATTAATACTGAAAATAACGTGAACAACAACCTCCATCCAATTACGGCAATGCTTGTTTTTAGCAGATCTTAGATGTTGTATACAGATTTAAACAATTAATTATATACATTATTAGTTTGTATGATATTGCTAGTGCAAACGGTTAAATATTTGCTGGGATATTACTTGCCAAATCTCCTTAATTCACAATCTTAATGGTGATAATGTAGTTGGCCAATTAGATGAACTCTTACTACACCTAATGTCCATTGAGCGTGGGAACACATATCTCTTAGGGAAGCAGCAAAGAAATGGCTTTAAGGTCCATCAGTCTCTGAACTATCCATCTGCTACTACTGGTCAGAGGAGTAAACCATGTTTTGTGTTTTTGTTCTAGGTGTTGTGGCGGTGCTTTTCTGTGGGATCACTCAGGCTCATTACACCTACAACAATCTGTCTCGTGAATCTCAAGACAGGACTAAACAGGTGAAACACACTTCACACCACAGTGATTTCCATATCATTCTGTTTTACTTCCAAGCACTTTCGTTAAATTAAAATTGTTATCACACATTTGAGCAGATTCTTCTGTCGGGGAGGAAAAAAAGGAACAACACGGGAGAAAAAATGCAAAAGTGCAAAACTTCAATACAGTAGATCATGAAGAAATACTCAGAAAAGAGATTCTATTTAGTGCAGATTATTCTCAGAAGTGCGTAGAGTTATCTTATCCTGATAACTGATGAACTATAGAAGCTGCATCCTGCATATGAGTGAGTTATTGCTGAAACCGACTCTGTGTTCTGCATCATCAGCATAAAACACATATAGAACTCTGCACCAAAACATGAATACAGCAAAGCAGAGAACGCTACCTAAAACCGAGCCTTGAGGAACACCGAAATGAATCTTATGCAACTTTTACAGGATTGCATTGTCAGCGGTTACAACACAGGATCCTTCGCTTGACTTTGGAAAAACTGGGCTTAAGAATATCTTAGTTATACCGTAATTTTCAGACTATAAGCCGTGACTTTTTCCCCATTTTTCGACTTTGCTGCTTATATAACAATGCGGCTTATCTATGGACTTTTACAGCTAACAGCCACTAGGGTAATACCTAAATCTATGGATTTTACCATCCACCATGTTGACGTCACTTTTGGTTCAACACACAAGTACAGTAGCCACGCGCGGGAATGCGGAGGTCCTCCGGAAGCAGACTTCTACCGCGAGTGGTACGAGACAGAACGACAGCGGAAAGAAGACGGACAGTTTGTGTTAAACATAAAAAACCTGCGGCTTATAGTCCGGTGCGGCTTGTATATGTACAAATCATGCAATTTAGCTTCTGCGGCTTATATTCAGGTGCGGCTAATAGTCCGAAAATTATCGTAATATAATTGCCTTACTTTTAATGTACTTTTTTGTGAATAGAATGCAGAAGGGCTGATATGGCAAAAATGCTGTTCACTGCAAAAAAGACCTAGAAATAAATCAATGTAGGTGTATTTACCCTTAATTTGAGCAGGTAAATAAGACGATTTGCTAATGGAATAAGTATTTTTACTCGTAAAATAAGATAATTAGATGATATGCACTTGAAATAGGACAAAGCAATTGTTTCTTTCTTATTTTAAATGTAAATTGGCTTGTTCCATCAGCAAAGTGTCTCACTTATCTGCTCAATTCAAGAACAAATGCACTTTTTTTAAAGAAAAAATTACTTTTACTTACTTTTACGAAATTACTATTTCGTTTTTTTGCTGTAAATTAAAAAGCCCAAGAATGTAAACATTTAACACACTGGAAAAACAATCTAGAAATAAGTAAAAAGTTCCTTAAATTAAGTATATTTACCCTTAATTTGAGAAGGTAAATGAGATAATTTACCAATGGAATGAGTATTTTTTTTCTCTTAAAATAAGATAATTAGATAATTTGAACTTTAAATAAGACAACGCAATTGTGTTTTCTAATTTTAAGTGTAAATTGTCTCGTTCCATTTGGCAAAATGTCACTTTTACCTCCTCTATCAAGGAACAAATGCACTTAATTTAAGAAATAATTACTCATCTAGATTTCGATTTTTTTCCAGTGCATGTAAGAAAATGTATTTCTATTTGTTCAGTAAGAGTATTTTAAAGATTTAGTAGATTGGCTTCCTTGGTGTCCATTTAAAAAGACTTAAGCTACAAGATTCACTGAAAATTCAATGAGGGAATAACAGAAATGGTACAGTAGGCTTTGGGGGGGTTCAAATCTATGGTTGAAATTTGGAAAAGATGATCTGTTCTTCTACAGGAACAACTGGTTAAACTTTCTGACATTTAGGTAAGACTTAGATAAGAATGACAAGTTGCTCATCTCAATGTCTTTTTTGTTTTGTTTTTTCCAGCTGTTTGAGCTGCTGAACTTCCTGGCAGAAAACGTTATCTTCTCCTACATGGGCCTGACGCTCTTCTCCTTTCAGTCACACGTCTTTAACCCCATGTTCATCATCGGGGCCTTCGTATCCTTCACTATGCTCTGCATTGGATCAGATCACACACTCAAAAATGTTACTGAAAAAGCTTTAAATGAAAAGTTAACACAACCTTTCAAGTATCCAGATAACCAGAACCTGTCAATGAGACACACTAATTAATAATAGATTTTACCAGGAACTGAAACCAAGAGGGAAATCCGGGGCACACATAAAAGACAGATTAGTCATTCGGTTAGTTTGATCGTTCAAACTGGGGTTCTACCCACTAATGTTTCCGTTCTGTTCCTCATCACCTTCTGAGTCATGTCCTTGACAGCGTTTCGTTGCAGCTGGCTGTGTTTCTGGGCAGAGCTGCAAACATCTACCCCCTCTCCTTTCTGCTCAACCTGGGCCGCCGAAATAAGATCGGAATGAACTTTCAACATGTTATGATGTTTGCAGGTAAACCTCCAAAACAGATGGTTAAGTTTGGAAAAGAAAAACACACATTGATATAAAGCTTTCTAGAAGAAGTTGCATGCACATCATTGTCTTCATTGCAGGCCTCCTTAAAGTTTGACTTTATGAGAAACCCAGTTTTATGAATAACCGTTTTTATCTCCTGCCTCCTCCAGGTCTGCGTGGGGCGATGACCTTTGCTCTGTCTATCCGGGACACGGCTACTTACGCCCGGCAGATGATGTTTTCAACCACCCTTCTGATTGTTTTCTTCACTGTATGGATCTGTGGAGGGGGCACGACGCCCATGCTGTCTTTCATGAGCATACCGTAAGGCTGACAATCTTATAACGTCCGTTTGTTGCACCTTTTTAATCACATCTATGTAACCATTGCAATCTCTTTCAGAGTGGGGGTGGATTCTGATCAAGAATACTCTGTAAGTATTTAACTCAATGTCTAAATCTCTTATTCTTAGGGTGAATTGCACCCCCTAGAGAGGAATCAAGTGTGCTGCTTGAAATAGGGAAAGAGCTGTAAGCCATATGTGACTGAAATGTGTTAGCATTTTGATAGATAAGAAAAGGAAGACAGACAAGCAGAGAAATAATTTTTTGGAGTTATAATGAAAGGGAAAAGTAGATCCAGGCCTTTTTTTTGTGTGATGTCTGCCGGTTTGAAGCATAAAGCTAAAAAATATGTTAGATCTCTGGACTGGAGGCACCACATCACTCGGCTTTTATACAGTCCCATTAACAGCTCACTAATGAAGGGAAATCTTATTATAAATCTTATCTTTGTTCTTTAGCAGGCTATATTTGTGTATTGGTCTTTTTCTTACAAAATACTTTTTAAAAAAGTTTATTCCCCCTTAACAGTAGAACTCCCAAGGCGGTCATTTTGACGGTTCTGAGATTTTTAAGTGAAATAACTTTAATTACATTAAAACTGACTTTTTCTGTTTCTATATGTTCTTCATATTCAGGTTGTTTTCTAAGTAAAATAAAAACCTTTAAAATAAATATGGTCGATTTCACCTCGATCTCCCACAGGCCTCATCTTGACGGCTCTCTTAGCTGAATTGTAAATTCTTCCTACGGTTGATTGACACTTGGTACCGTTGCCTAGCAACCAACGTTCTACCGAGTAATCTCTGGAGCTCTGGCCAATATGGAAAAATGCCTTTCAGTAGAAATCTTGACGGTGAAACAGGCTTTAGAAACGCTTCAAATTATTGATAACACATGCACTCCAGAGAGCCGCAGGTTACCAACCCCTCCGCTGCAGAAGCGCCAGCTTTGGCTTCAGCGCTGCACCAGCTGACAGGGGTGAGGGAGGGATTAAACAATTTCTGTAAAAAAAATTATAATTTCAAACTTTCAACCTTTGTAGTATCCATCCATTTTCCGTCAGGTTTATCCCAAGCGGGGTCGCAAGGGCCACCTGTGTAGTAATTATTTTATTTATTTTATTTTACCGATTTATTTTTAATGCAAATTAAACTACAAAATGATAGCATATAATACAGCCTTTAAAAATATATATTAGACCTGTTTTAAGGTCTACATATTGACAATGGGTTTATATGGCACACTAGAAGCTTTTCAGTTAATGACATGATCGTTACTCATTGGGAAAAATGTCACCCGTCAAATTGATGGCCAGTGGGAGTTCTTTAAGGATCAGAATTCTGGGAGACCTAGTGTTTAACTTATGCATATCTTTTCATGTCAGGATTAATGTGATAGATTAATGAAAAGGTAAATGTCACATGATTTAAAGGGATTATAGGGGAACACCATTTTTTTTTACATTGGGCCCTTGATTTTACGTTATTACATCATGTTCTACTCACCCATATTAGTTTTGTGTCATTTGGAGCGGTTCTGAAGATATTCCGTTAGGTTATATCCAAGTAACGTCTTCCTATGGACAACGACTTGAAGGCACAAACTAAACTGTTCATAATTTATTCTTTATGGTACGCCAGCATTAATAACATGTAGGCGAATCACTGTCCCCAAGACATCCGCGGTTATATTTTTTATGGTAATATTTTTTTTAAACGAAGCGGAGTGTGTATGACGTCATCTGCCGTTCATTCATCCTGTCGCTGAACTGCTGCTAGTTTCACTCACATGCCTGGAAGATGTCTAGTGCTACTACCACAGATGATCTCGGTTTAGTTTGTGCCTTCAAGTCGGTGTCCATAGGAAGACGTTACTTGGATATAACCTAACGGAATATCTTCAGAACAGCTCCAAATGACACAAAACTAATATGGGTGAGTTGAACACCAGGTAATAACGTAAAAGCCATTTAGCAGCTGGTGCAGGAAGCTAGGTGAACCAGGCACTTGCTTCTGCAAGCTGTGCTCCAGGGATGCTTAGCAGCAAAACTGGATATCATAAGAAATGTGGTACATGAAAGTGGGTTAGGGTTAGGGTAGATATAGATGCACTTTTGCCATCTTCTGGCCATTTTCTGTATGTATGTATATATATATATATATATATATATATATATATATATATATATATATATATATATATATATATATATTTTTTTTTTATATATATATATATTTATATATATATATATATATATTTTTATATATATATATATTTATATATATATATATATATATATTTATATATATATATATATATTTATATATATATATATATATTTTTTTATATATATATATATATATATATATATATATATATATATATTTATATATATATATATATTTATATATATATATATATATTTATATATATATATATATTTATATATATATAAATATATATATATATATATATATATATATATTTATATATATATATATATACACTCACCGGCCACTTTATTAGGTACACCTGTCCAACTGCTCGTTAACACTTAATTTCTATGCAGCCAATCACATGGCGGCAACTCAGTGCATTTAGGCATGTAGACATGCTCAAGACAATCTCCTGCAGTTCAAACCGAGCATCAGTATGGGGAAGAAAGGTGATTTGAGTAACTTTGAACGTGGCATGATTGTTGGTGCCAGAAGGGCTGGTCTGAGTATTTCAGAAACTGCTGATCTACTGGGATTTTCACGCACAACCATCTCTAGGGTTTACAGAGAATGGTCCGAAAAAGAAAAAACATCCAGTGAGCGGCAGTTCTGTGGGCGGAAATGCCTTGTTGATGCCAGAGGTCAGAGGAGAATGGCCAGACTGGTTCGAGCTGATAGAAGGGCAACAGTGACTCAAATAACCACCCGTTACAACCAAGGTGGGCAGAAGAGCATCTCTGAACGCACAGTACGCCGAACTTTGAGGCAGATGGGCTACAGCAGCAGAAGACCACACCGGGTGCCACTCCTTTCAGCTAAGAACAGGAAACAGGATACAATTTGCACAAGCTCATCGAAATTGGACAATAGAAGATTGGAAAAACGTTGCCTGGTCTGATGAGTCTCGATTTCTGCTGCGACATTCGGATGGTAGGGTCAGAATTTGCCGTCTACAACATGAAAGCATGGATCCATCCTGCCTTGTATCAACAGTTCAGGCTGGTGGTGGTGGTGTCATGGTGAAGGGAATATTTTCTTGGCACTCTTTGGGCCCCTTGGTACCAATTGAGCATCGTTGCAACGCCACAGCCTACCTGAGTATTGTTGCTGACCATGTCCAACCCTTTATGACCACAATCTACCCAACTTCTGATGGCTACTTCCTTTAACAGGATAATGTGCCATGTCATAAAGCTGGAATAATCTCAGACTGGTTTCTTGAACATGACAATGAGTTCACTGTACTCAAATGGCCTCCACAGTCACCAGATCTCAATCCAATAGAGCATCTTTGGGATGTGGTGGAACGGGAGATTCGCATCATGGATGTGCAGCCGACAAATCTGTGGCAACTGTGTGATGCCATCATGTCAATATGGACCAAACTCCCTGAGGAATGCTTCCAGCACCTTGTTGAATCTATGACACGAAGAATTGAGGCAGTTCTGAAGGCAAAAGGGGGTCCAACCCGTTACTAGCATGGGGTACCTAATAAAGTGGCCGGTGAGTGTTTATATATATATATATATATATATATATATATATATATATATATATATATATATATATATATATATATATATATATATATATATATATATATATATATATATATATATATATACTGTAAAAGGGACCTGTGCTCCTGCCCTTGTTGGTAATGGTGTGACAGAAGCACCTTTCACTGCAGCTTTAAATCTTCTAGGCTACGTCTTTGCTTTGCACAGCAAACATCACAGATATTTCCTCCCTATTTATGAACTATTCCAGGCTAGTTAGATTGGAGGAGGAGCTTCTGTTAAGTTCTGGAAAAAATGGCCCAATTGGCTTTATCCCTGAACTTTGACTAGACAAACTCGTTCCTCAAGGCTCCCTGTCCTGCAGGTTTTAGAGGTTTCCTTGCTCCAGCACAGCTGATTTTAATTGAAAGCTGATTAACAGGCTTTTGGTCTACTGCAATAGTTATAACCAGCTGTGCTGAAGCAGAGAATCCTCTAAAACCTGCAGGACAGGGGGCCTTGAGGACCGAGTTTGGGGATGCCTGGACTAGACCATTCTGAGACATAGCTGATGTGTTTTAAGAGGATGTGGCTTATCAGAAGAAGTTTTCTCTAAAGTCCTGTGTTCTGCTTTCTGCTCCCCAGAGTTCAGCTGTGTTGGACGGGTCCCAGAGGAGAAGCACCAAACATGAAAGCGCCTGGCCCTTCAGGATCTGGTATACTTTCGACCACAAGTATCCTTTAACCTGCCGATCAGCTTTCTGACGAGTGAATGACCTGTGCTGATCTCCATTTCAAACACTAGATGATCTTACAAACTGCATAAGTTTTTACCTATCTTTACATTGGTGTTTATTTCAAATGGATGGGATCATTTTGTGTTTCTATTTGATGTGTTTATGATGGACTTTTATTATAGCCTACTTTTCTTTACATATTTGGGGCAAGAAGTTTCCCAACATTCTGTTTTTTTTTTTTTTTTTTTTTTTTTTTTGTAATCAAAATGTCTGTTTACATTTGGGATCACTAAAAAAAAAAGATTTATTCATCCAGAGGAAATTTGGATCTTCCACATTTTTGGAAATAATTGGTATGTTAAGTATAACAAAGGTATTAATAAATGCTTAAAGCACTGTTTGGTGAAATATTTGCGAAACCATAATTGAATGGAGACGGTAACCTATCTGCTAAATTATGTCCTTGACTAAAGCTTTCCTCCAGCTACCTGAAGCCTCTCCTGACCCACAGCGGACCGCCTCTCACTGCCACTCTGCCATCATGTTGTGGCCCTCTGGCACGATGCCTCAGCAGTCCACAGGCCTATGAGGTTTGATATAAAGCTTAAAAGGTCACAGTTTAGAAGCTTATTTAAATCCAACCAGATATTTATATGGGATTTACACTGGTTTAATCAGATTAGCTGATAAACAAGTGAACAAACTGTGGAGTAAAGGTACTTCCTCAAAGTGAAAGAAATCAATAACTGTGTAATTTATAGACCGTAGAAAAGTAACAATCATTTCTTCTGCTAATAAAAAAAAAAACATCAGTTTTAATCATTTTAGGGTCTGTATGGATTTTGAATTAAATTTAAGCCTAATTAAATTCTCAAACCAACCAGCTCTTTCAATTTAAGAAAAGCCAGAGTAAATTTTTTGATTTTCTTGGGTTTAGTCTGGACATTTGATGTCGGATACAAATTTTCCTCTCTTCTCCTTCCCTTGTCTTTTCTTTCTTTCTTCCCAGAATGAAGGCCAGCTCCACGATGACGACTCTGACTTCATCCTGAACGACGCCAACGTGAGCTCCTTGTACGCAGACGTCACCGTCAGCACCGACGCGTCCGGCTCACGCACCATCAACCCCAAGCCCTCTGCCGCCGGCCCCTTCGGCGAAAACCGGGATTGCGAGCTGGACCAGGTGGAGCGTGAGGTGACGATCCGCGGCACGCGGCTGGTCCTGCCGATGGACGACCCGGCGGAACCCCCGACGACCGTCACCCTCCCTCCGCCACCTTCTCCCCCACGCTCTGATCCTCACAGGCACAGACTGTAAGACGGGGTTTGATGTTCCAAAAACAAAACAAAGACATCCACTAACTAAATGTAGTTCACATGTAAAATGAATCAAACCGCTTTCCTCTAATACTGCGGTGTGGACTGGACCAACTCTCAGTCTAGGCAGCCTGAAATCAACGTCACCTTTTCCAATATGAGCCCTGCTTGATTCAGCTCACCACGTTGGTAGAATCCTGTGATTATTGAGGCACTACATGTAGACTAGGGTACTAAAATCCTCACAGCCGACCTAAATGCGCGGCTGCTGTGTGAACTGATTCATGTGTACTACCGCCGTCTCTAAAAGCTCCCATCTTCTCTGCATTGTGTCGGTTTAACGCTAAAGCAGATGGAAATGTCGGCTTCTCTGAGGTTAGGCTCCCACTGATGATTTCTTTTTGTATTTATCTAAGTATTTGATTTAATCACACTGATTATTATTCACACTACAGTACGGAAACAAATCATATAAATATGTTCTCGGAGAGGTTTTGTTTGTTTTCTATTCCTAAGTCCAAGGTTGGGATTCCCAGAGCGAATAGAAAGCGGGATGCCTTTGATGGAAGGGGTCCAGATATTTGGTACGACCAGCTGGTGTCAGAGGTTTACAGTCACTCTCCCTCTGAGTTTATGCATTGGATTAGGATTTTAAAGCTGGATTTGAACCTGTTTTCCAGGATGATATGATGATACATCCATCATATTTTCTTCCTTTAAATTGGATTATCATAAATCAACATAAGATCCGAACAGTACATAAAGCCGAAAGTATAAACACTCCCCCTTCTGAGATTCTTAAATATCTGTTTGTATGCTGCAGAGAAGGCCACACCCTTTTTGTAGCCTTCAGTAAGTTTGCGCTTTAATTCTGACTGCATGTTTGACCCATCTTTTTATAAGAGGCGAGAGAAACATTTTGGTTGGGATATAGACGAGTCGCCTAAACCTAAAAACACTACCCAGACTTCTAGCAAGGACTCTGCATTATGGTGCTGAGGGCCTGTACTTATGAATCTGACTTGGTTTTTTAGTTTTACTGTCTCTCTATTATTTATTTAACAGCAACAATAGTATACATCTGATTATTTTTCTCATATTATTTATTGTGCAGCTTTTGAATCACTACTGCCATGGTGAGAAACCATGAGATAAATAAGAAGCACTGAAGGTTTCCCACATGGTACTTTTGAAATGAAGACTTCTAAGGAGAATAGATTGATTAGTTTTTTTTTTTCATACTGTAGCACGTGATTTTACTTTATGCCACACAACCAGATCTTCCCTGCTTGCGTATTTTCTGAATATACATGTGTCTCTGTGATGGGATTTTTATAGTTATTATTAGGGCTAATGTTTACTGTTTCCATCTGGTTGAAGTTTCTTAAAGAAAAAACACAAAAAGAACCAAAAAAATAAATAAAGCAACAGTGAAGTCTTTGCAATTTGTTGCCATCATAGATTAAAGGGGCTGGCTGAACTGTTTTGAACTTAAGTGCCTATTCAGGAATTAGATTTGTACATATTTTGTTTTGCTTAAGTGCAGTAAGAGATCCTTTTAAATACCACATTACTTCTTCACACTGATGGCAGGTACTCCAGTATTCCCAGTAGAATTGAACTCCGGTGTCTCCATCTGTCTGTGCTTTTACTGTTTAATCTCTGTCGGTGAATCTTAAGGATTTCATACTTGCATTTACAGCCAAAAAAAAGCTCATACCTTGTCTGTTCTGAGTATTTTTTTAAACAGGCTTTCATATATCAGTGCGTAAAGTATGTTTTAATGACAGTGGATGAAAAGGAACTAAAGGGAAAGTTGTCTTTGTTTTTGTTTTTACTGATGACGCTCTGCACTTTCTTTAATGCTGTTTGTTCTTTCATTCTGTCATCTTTTGAGAATTACGTTTAAAACACTTTAACTGTCTAATTCCATTAAAAGCGTTTTTTTTTTTTTTATTGAAGTAAAAGTTGACTCTGATGATGTCATTGAAAAAAAAATCTGTTATCTGTTAGGGTGAGCATGTGTTTCTGGTTTCATGAATCCATGTTCTTAAAAGTGCTCCGAGTTTCTCTACATCTCTCACATTTATTTACTTGGGATTTTTTAGGGAAAAAATCAAACTAGGCCTAAAACTGAATTTGTGAAAGTGTTTGATGTTTCTGCCTTTTGTGGAAACTGTATTTTAAAGTCTGCTTTCAACGGGTTCATGTTCTGTTTTACTTTTTAAGAGACAAATCCCCAATCCTTAAGTGTTTCATCTGTTTGATGTCTTGCAAGTGTGAAAAAAATAAAGTCCCATTCGAAGCTTAATCAGATTGTTTTGTGCTGTTATTAATTGTTTTACAATCACAAATGTGGGTGTATTTGGAATTTAAAGTGATTGATCAACTCAAAGGTATATTGGAGGAATTTTGCGAATTTTGAAAAAAAAAATGTACATGCACAACCCTGTACCCGCTCCCCAGAGGGAAAGCCTATTAAACGTGTGCGAAAGAACACACAAACCCATCTCTCCTCGTGCATGCTCTGCTTAAAAGTTGCTGTTTGCATCGCTCATACAAGCTTTCTTTCCAAAGATTAAAAATGTTCCATTACGTCAGACCCACCACCGATAAGTGAAAATGGGGACGAGCACATGGGGCGGCCTTACATAAACATATCACCAGAATGATTGAAAGTTAGGAGGACCACTTATTTTGATGATCCACGCAGAAAAAGAACATCCTCCACTATACCTTTAAGACATGGAAGGCAAAAATAGATTTGAGATTGTAGGTGGTCCCTAAAGACACTTTTATATACTACAATAAGACTTAACAAAAAGAAATTTTGTTTAGTACAGCTCTCTAGACTTTTTCATTTTTTACAGTGCAGCCTTGATAAAGGTAAGCAGCAGTGATAAAAACACTGTAAATTAAAAAAAACACTTTGGTAAAAAAAAAAATTATGTAAACAACTGTTTAGCTACAGTTCCAACATTCAGGGTTTTTTTGGGAGTGGGGGGTGGAGTTATAACCCATTTTATATAAAAAGGTGGGCTCTCCTCATCCTCCTCAGGAAGTACATGCGCTTTTGTGCCCTTTTGATCAGTGCGGTGGTTTGACAGTCCAGTTGAGGGTGTCTGTGAAATATCACCCATCTTATCACACATAAGATGTATGACACCTTTAAATATATATATGTCAAAAGTTTTTCTTTGTAGATGGGATGGCTTCTGATATCTTTGTTTGATTTTATGCAACACTAACAAAGATCTATCTGTCTGCATGTATGTATGTTATAAATTCAGTTTAACATGCAGCAGTCCAAAGGCATCTCTGCATCCAAACTTGAATGTATAAAAGGAAGCCCCTAAACTCATCTAGATCTTACTGTTTAAGGAAACTCAAAATAACAGTAAATACACAAATATATATTGAAATAAATAATTGTAACAAGAAATAAATGAACATAACAATATTTTTTTAACAAACAATTGGATGTACTTATTTAAATTATCACTAAATGAAATTTAAGATGATTATTCAAGATTAAATGTGCCGTTGAATAGTTATATCCTGAAATAATGATATTTAAGAAAGAATTTTTAATAAAAATGATTTAGAAATACCTATTTATTTTTTCCTATCATATTTATTTCTTAGCCTGACATCTAATTGCCTGCTTCACACAGAAAAACAAATCATTGGCTATGGTTATGGGTTGCACATATTTACCGGAAAGGTCGGAAATAAAAAATGCAAAGTATTATCGCATACTCTGCACAAGCAACTCCAGCCTCTATATCCCTAGTTTGCTCGGAAATCCCTCAAAGTAATTCACCAGAGAGAAAGCGCTACTCGGTTTCATTCAGTGACAGGGGGGGGGGGTTTAACATTAGGCAATACTAGGCAGTTGCCTAGGGCCCCAAGTTCTCTGGGGCCCCATAAAACTCTGTTTACATGTATGGTTAATACAACTATTCCTTATTTGTATTAATTAGTTAATTATTCGATAAAAATCCTTACGCTAAAATGTCATCAGAGCGCTTATAATATGCAGTGTCCACCATATTGGATGAGTCCATTTGCTGCACATGTTCAGAAAGGTCAAAACAGACAGCAGCAAACCATTTGAAAACAAACCATGCAAAGAGCAGTGTTGCCAACTTAGCGCTTCTGTTGCTGTATTTGGTGACTTTTCAGACCCGTCTAGCACTTTTATTTCAAAAAAGAGCCTAGTGTCAAATCTAGCGACTTTTTTCTGCTACTGGAGACTTTAGCAACAACATCTAAAAGCAGCGAACTCTGCTCTCCAGAGCAAGTAGAGTGGTAACCCTGCCTCCTGCTCTCTTCTATCTTGTCTGCTGTCATAATTCATGCAGCTATTATTTCATTCAAATGAAAAATTGAGAACAGAGAAGCAGATCATGGCTTGTCTACAGTGAAAAGAAGGACTGGGTTATTTACTTTTGCCGTCGCCTTTTTGGAAACACAGGAAAGCGCAATCAGCTAAGTGAGCTCAGAAGCATAGCCAGAAAATTTTTATAAGGATGGCCAGGTAATAACCAATGTATACTGAGGGGTGGCCAAAAGAGGATAGGCACCAGAACCTCAGGATCAGTCTACTCTGTTCCAACAGGAACAAGCACAACGTCCACATTTTTAATTAAAGACAAACTATAGTTTCCTACAGCTTTTGCCAACAAATAGGTGCATATATTTAAACATCCGTCTAGATAAAAGGCATATTGGATAAAATTCTTTCAGGTTTGAGTTCTGGAGCGAACATCTTTTCCATCGTCATTACTTACCTACTTTTATCAATACCATTCTGCATTAAATTAATATTTACAAGTACTAATATCTGCATAAATTGATTATTTAATATGTTTTGATTAAAATAGTTATTTACAATATCTATGATTTCACTGAAGACTCTTAGATGACTTGCAGAGACACATAATTTTCTCTTTAGGGCATATAACACAAAATCTAGTTCTGAAAGAGCATGAATACTGTGCTAATCATCTTTAATGTTGGTATATTGATTTGCATAATTAACCACGGTGTTTTTGCTGTCAAGTAATTGTTAATATATATAAAATTAAATTGTTTTGAATATTCTTCTTGAGAGAAGAAAATGGTAGGGATGGCCACTGGTGTGGCCAATGATTGGCTAAGGGTGGCCATGGCCACCCCTGGCCCCCCATCTAGCTCCACCCCTGAGTGAGTTTAGTGCTTGGGAAAAAAATGTTTTATTCCTTTTGAGACAGCATAGAAAGTCAGCTGAGTACAAAACATAGAGAGGAAGACAACAAGAAAAGGGACAAGAAGAGAGGGACACAACCTAGAACAAATAATGTATGTCTATTCTATTAACATTTCTGTATCTGTATAATGGGTCTGTTTTATGTGTCATCTTCTCAATTAGGAGGGCCTCTTGCCTGTCTTTGCCCGGGGCCCCACATTTCCTAAATCCGCCCCTGTTCAGTGGGCGTGGCTTATGTTAAACCTGTCTGAAGTTTGCAGCAGCCTCCTTCCTCCATCCAGCTGCTAAAACCATCTTATAAAATAAAGGTTTTGGGTTTCGGTGCCTTTAAGATTCCCGAATCTTATAAAGGAATTAACCTTTTTTTTCTTCCATCTCTTTCGTCCCTCTGTTCTTTTCATGTGCTTTTATTTTTTCAATCTTCTTTCCAATCCGCTCATCAGGTTGTCTTTTATTTTGAAGTGGCGCCTCTGTCAGGGACGTGCAGCGCGCTGTCTGGGCCGTGTGTCTGACCCAGCATTTAAAGGAGGACCGGTGCTGGTGGAGAGGGGATCAACAGTCTCCTCAGGAACCAGACAGCAGCGGGACGTTTCTCTGAACCCGGGTAAGATGTCCTCAGAGCGCTGCATGCTTTTACTGCTGGATCTGTGCATCATCTTCCACAGAAACTGGTTTGACAGAGCAAACCAGTTTCTACAGACTGTCCCTTTTCATGAACCTAAAGGACATGTAATATTCAGTGTAATAGAATAGTTAAAGGTAACTTTGTTTTAATAGACATACAAGGTGACATTAGGTCAATAATAGGAAACAGATGCTCTCTCTTATTCAGTCCTGACTTCATGCATGCTGCATTAGGAAAGCAGAAGCTTTGGTATCTAGAGAGGAAACTAAAAACTTGAATAAATCCGGGGCGTTGGCTGTCTGTCTGTCTTTCTGTCTGTCTGTCCCTCTAAGTGTGTGTGTGTGCTGAGTTGTTAAAGTTGCTGTTGAAATCTGTTTCCAGTTAAGAAGTCTCCTTTTTTTTCCTTCCATCTGATGGAACCACTGGAACTAAAAATGCTTCACAGAGGTCAATTAAAATTCCTGCACTGCTATTTTTCATTGCCTTCCCCCTGAGCGTGTGTGTGAGTGCATTTAACTCTATATGCATTTAAATGATACACTTGGCCTCACTTTAGCCTCTCTTCTGCTTATTCCAACATGTGTTTGTACTCTAGGCTTAATATTAGGAATGCAACCCCATGCTTTAACAGACAGAAACCTACAATCACATGGTGAACACAGAGATGTTTCTAGGCAATCTACTATCTTTAAGTTCTTGCACCTCCATCCTTCCCAGGATCCCGCACCAAAAGGTTGCAGGTATTCAAGACACATTCTGGTTATAGCCGTATAAACCTTTATGTGTAATGGATTACTGAAGGTGATGGCAACAACTTGTCTTTTGTGATTTAAAAAAAATAAATATGGTAATTAAGTTAAAATTAAACTTTTGTTACTCTTGACTCATAGCCATTAAAGCCTGTTGTGATCCATTAAGGTGACTTATTTCCCCCCCTGTGTTATGCAACTAGGCAAGAAGGTATTTAGTAATCATTCACAAACCTCCATTCATCTATCTGTGGGCAGGTGGATTAGGTCTTTGGCTGGTTGCTATTCAATCACATGGACAATAAAGAGAAGCACAACTATGCATGAGCACATTTACCTAAGGGCAATTAATCAGGATGGGGAGGAAGCCCACATACTTGGAAAAAAACAAGCATGCATAGAGAGGAAAACTCCACGTCCCCAGGCTGGGACAGCTGTTATTACCTGTGTCAGTTTTTATCAGAGTACTAGCTGATGAAAAAAAAATAAAAATAACCTTTTCCAGACTGATGTTGCAAAATAATTACTCCTTTTAATAATGAAAACCTTTGAATGAATAATTAAATAAGAAATACTGGAAAAAAAACTCTTATAGTTCTTGGTCTTAAGAATTAAAAATATTTGCTAAAATGTTTGTCAATTTCAAAATGCAAAATAGGAAATTAGCCAATTTGCTTGTTCCTCAGCCTTCATCATTAAGAAGAATCTTTCTTTTTTTGTGAGAAAGTACAATGTCAAAATGTCAATATCAAATTTATTTATATAGCACTTTAAATACAGGTATAAAATTGAACCAAAGTGCTTTACAGGAAGGACAACAACATCAATTAACAAAACAGAAACACTACTTCAATTAAAAGCAGAAGAATAAAAATAAGTTTTAAGAAGCGATTTAAAGTGATCCAGGCAGATTTAATTTGAAGAGGTAAATGGTTCCACAGAATTGGAGCAACAACAAAGAAAGCACCAATCCTCTCCTCTTAAGTCGAGTTTGAGGAACTGTCAGTAATAGTTGATTATTACCGCGTAGACTTCTTGACACAGACTTGAATTTTAAAAGGTCTCTAAGATAAGGAGGAGCTAATCCATTTAAGACTTTATAAGTTAATAAAACAATCTTAAAATCTACTTGGTAAAAAATAGGCAGCCAATTTAACGAGGCCGGTATAGGCCTTATATGGTCTTGCTTCCTGGTTCCAGTAAGAAGCCGAGCCGCTGCGTTCTGGATCAATTTAAGTATATATAATAAATTGCAATAATCCAACCAGGATGTAATGAAAGGATGGATAAGTCCATCAAAGTCCATAAAACAAAAATAGGATTCATTTTTGCTAAAATCTGCAGGTGATAAAAACTTGATCTAACAACAGAGCTAACTTGTTTATCTAGCTTTAAACAGCTGTTGAAAGTAAAACCAAGATTCCTAGCAGCACAAAACTGTGAATAAATAAGTACTGGCTTATATGGAAGGGCCACTGAAAAAAAAAAAAAAGTTTATTGTTTTTAAAATTTTATTTCAATTCAGTATTGGAAAAACTTTAAACTTAGAATTCTGACTTTAATCTCAGAATTTTGGATCTTAATGTAGATGGGCGCAATGAAGGAAGAGATGTGGGAGCACTCAGCTTCACTGACAAAGATGTGAGTTGTTTGAGGTGGCCAGTGACACATTGGTGGAAAATAACGGAATTAGGCAACTTTTTACGTGCCTGAAGGGTCCCCTCATTAATGGAGGAGCAGAAGGTCATTAAAACAAGAGAGCTAGTCTCTAAAACGGACATGGCTATGGCTTGATGCTAACATGTTTGTTATCTGTCAGAATTCTGAAAAAAAAGTCAGAATTCTGAGATTAAAGTCAGAATTCTACGGAGCCCCCTAGGGGACATGGGGAATTTTTTTTCCTTTTGCGTTCCCTCACAAAAGTATTGCGTTACCTCGCAAAATTTTGCGTTACCTTGCAAAACCTTTTGCGTTACCTCGCAAAACCTTACTTCGGTAAAGTTAGAAAGATATTACAGACTTGCGGGATCAATAACTCTCGTTGTTGAAACACAAATGGCGCCTTTTTCATGTCCTGATAGCACAGACTACCTATTACAAGAATCAAAAAGCGTTATTTTCGAGAAAAACGAGCCGTTCTCCGAGCTGGATGTATTACATTGATCTCTATGCACAGGCGTCGGCCATGCGAGTGGTTAGGGACCATCTGCAAATGGTAAAACAATAGCAAAATGTTGCAACTAAAAATCAATAACTCCACTGCCATAAAGTGCATAGACTCCAAAATCACCGCACACACCTTGGGGCTCTTGGTGATCGCACTACAACAGCTGGTTTGGAAAAATAGAATTGTAGCTTGTTCCCATACTAAACTGAAATAAAATTTAAAAATCAGTTAACTTTTTTTTCAGTGGCCCTAATCCTCTTCCGTAGGTCTTAAACCTTTATGATATTTTATAGTATTTTTTATTTACTACTTTTTCTCTGCGTTTATTCACAACTAATAATGCTCTAAAGATTGAACCTACACATATAAAACCATTACATTGAAAAATCTGTTCGGTAAACTTTCTGTTAAAATTTACACAACACTTGTAGGTCTATTATTGTTTGAAAAATAAATGCAGAATTTAAGAATGTTTTCATGGAACAAATTGTTTTAAATAATGATCAAACCAAAAGAGGAAAGTATTCCAACTGTGCCTTTCATCTGCATAAGGTGAAAGGAAAAATGTACGTTCAATCAACCAACCATTGAAATGTTTGTTCATATGGACTGTCTGGGGAGTTTTAGGGTAGGAGTGATATATTAGTTAAAACGAGTAGTAAAGAGAGCTTTGACAGAACATGTAATCAAACTACCTGGCAGAGTGTTAAAAGAACAGCAGATGGTGAACTGCTTTACAATTTTCGAAATTTTGATTTAAAAAAGGCTGATTTTGTTTTTTTGTGCCTTCAGGAGTTTTTAAACTTGATTTATTGAACCAGTCTGTTTTTTATAACAAAATACTTTTATACGATTTACTGGAAAGTTTTTAGAGATTTATGAGGACATTGAAACAATTTGGAGTCCAACCAGCTCATGGGAAATCTTACAAAAGTTAAGATTTATATAACTTCAGCTGAGGACCTTTGAAGTTTCACCGATTGTGACTGTTTTGTGTAACAGAGGACAGAATCTCTCTCTCCGAAAATATCACAGAAACACAATTAAACTTGGTCAGAAACACCATTGCTTTAGCAGACATCCAAAAACAGGGAATCTGAAACAGAAACAGAAGTGTGTAACACAAGACAGAGTGGGATGGGTTATACTTCTGCTAAAGTCATCATCTCCATCCTGTGGTTTGGTGTTTTTTTTTTAAATGACTCCGATCTCTTATATGAGCTTTACTGGGATGTTGGCTCACCAGAGCCAGATAAAACAAATCTGTCATTATCAGGCAAAAACATTTAGATGAACTCGCAGCTCAGCTCTAAACACTTTAGTATTTATTTTTAATATAGCACGATTGGAATCAGGGGTGGGGACTCTCAGTGTGATTGTGGGCACTTAAAGCGGGACTGCAAACCTCAAAGGCACTCTGAATATTTCAAATATTGGATCGTATTACAGAAGGAAATCTGAATATTCCTGAATATAAAGCTCTATTGTGCTTTCCAACATGTTTAACCACAAAAGACATCCTACCATCTCTATATCGCACATTTATTAAAGATGCTGTAATGGTTAAGTTCAACATTTGGATTTAAAGCGTTTTTTTTGTGTTGTACTACAGCCTTTTGGCTCTTAGCCATAAAAACTGAATCACAGTATGTCATTTAAAGTACTTTAGATTTGAAAATAGGTTCTCTGATGCACTCTGTGCAGACAAATGCATGATTTGTTGATTGGTGAATGTGGGGAACATATTCTACAAATAGCAAATGTTATATTTCCGTCATGATACTGAGAAGAAGGACAAGGTATTCAGGCAAGACAGACAGTGGGATGGCTCAAAAGTATTTATTTAAAACTGGTGGATCGGAGTGGCTCTGCAGAAAGGAAACAAGGGTTAGTGACCACTTAAATCTAAGAAGAAGATTAAGAACGTGAGTCACTAACCTGGTTTACAAGTTCAGTCCATAGTCAGAGAACGAGGTAGGATCCAGCTGGTGGGCTGCCAACAAGATGCGGGGGAAGCATCCTAGTCGCTGCAGCCCCGGGGGGAAACATGCAGGAGTCCGAAG